GTTAATTTCTTCTGTTGCAAGAAGATTCATTTTAATCTTCTTGTAACCTATGAGATGAAGATAAAGCAATTATGAAACAATGACTATAAAAACTCCCACCATTGATTTTTTTTTGCTTTCTAATTTTTAAAAAAATATCACTCCAGTCAATTATAAAAGAGGGTGTTAAAAATGCAATTATATCAAGAGTGATGTTTACAACCTTTCCAGGGTTTTCTCTTCTGGGAATTGAGAAGTAGCAGACTCTTTGAAAGGGTTCATCCAGAGAAGTGTGGGCTGCTCTGGGAAACTGAGCCTCCTTATCCATGGCTATAACCCTCAAACCTCACTGCACCTTCTTTGGGGCAGAAATCTGAGCTGAGGAAGTGAATGCTGAGTTCAAGAACAAGGCTTCTCAAATTTGGAGCTACCTGAGAATTATTAATGACATAAGTCTGAAAACTGCGTGAGATTTTAATTTAAATGATTTTTGAAATATCTGTAAACAATGCTAAAGAAAACCAAACTCTTGAATATTTTAAATGAGACATTGTAAAGATGTATGAATGTTTATTCCTAATAGTGTCTTTTCTCATGTCTGTCTTTCCCTCCTTCCCTTTCCTCCCTCTCCCCCTGTCCCTCCCCCTCCTCCTCCTCCCTCTCTCTCTCTCTCTCTCTCTCTCTCTCTCTCTCTCTCTCATAACAGTTAGAATGGAACTTTACTGTTTTATAGATCTCCCTTTCTACAACCAGTTGCCATGTATTTTTATATGAGAAAAGACAGATGAGTAACTTCACAAGAAAAATTTGGAGCATGGGCTTTTAAAAAAAAATTTTAGGTAATAAGAAATAACTTTAAGCCATTATGTTCACCTTAGCTTTTGTATATTCCATCTAAAAGGCATGAATTTAATCTTATTTACAAACCACTTTTTTTCTCAAGAGAAACTTCAATCACCTCTGAACAAAAACTAAGGAAAGATGCAAGATTGACCCCTACCTACTTGAATGATTTCCACTAAATGTCAAATATTGCCATGATTTTGAGAAGTTGTATTGGCATGCTTCACCTGTCATGGCCTCAGTTTCCTACTCTGTAAAATTAGGGATCAGGTCACCTTTAGCTCTGTGACCCTAAATTTGCTGGGTGACCATGGGCAAGTCACCACCCCAGCTAGCCTCAAGCTAATCTCTAACCGTGTCTATTAGGTAACAGACAGTCTGCAATCCGTGTTGGGGGAGGAAGTTCCCACAACAAAGAAATTCTGTTGATATGCAGAGAATAAATATATCTGTATACACACACTTACAGAACATGTTTTTGCTAATAATAGCTAGGATTTATATGGTATTAGTTTGAAATGCAATTTTTTAACTCAGGGGTCAGCAAGAAATGGCCTAACTATGGACCAGATCTGATCTTTCATTTGCTGTTATTATATTTTTAAAAGATAAAAACCATTCTTAGTCAATCAATGTTTGTTAAGCACCTGCTTTGCGCCAGGCACTGCGCTAACCTCTAGAGATACAGAAAGAGGCAAAAGACAGTCCATGCCTTCAAGGAACTCACAATCACAATCATTCTTAGCTCATGGGGCTGTAAAAAACCAGGTAGCAACTAGATTTGACCTTCAGACTGTAGTGTACCCATCCCAGTATTTCATTTGAACCCCAAAACAGCTGTAGGAAGTGGCCTTTGTTATTACACCCCATTTTATAGCTGAGTAAATTGAGATAGAGAGAGGTTAAGTGATTTGCCCAGGGTCATACAGCTAGTAGGGAAGCTAGGCAGCATAGGGGATGAGGGGCCTGAAGTTATGAAGATTATTATCCTGAGTTCCAATGTGGCCACGGACACTTAACTATGACTCTGGGCAAATCACCTAAACCTGTTTGCCTCAGTTTCTCTCATTTGTAAAATGATCTGGAAAAGGAAATTGCAAACCACTATAGTATCTCTGCCAAGAAAGTCCCAAATAGGGTCACAGAGAGTTGGAAGTGACTAACACACCACCACCACCACCACCACCACCACCACACTGACAACCAGCTAGTGACTAAGGCAAGTTTTGAACTCAGGGTTTCCTGAGTCCAAATCCAAAGCTTTATCCACAAGGATATCTAATTGCTATTAAGAAAAATGTTACTGGGGTGGCTAGGTGGTGCAGTGGATAGAGCACAGGCCCTGAAGGCAGGAGGGCCTGAGTTCAAATCCAGCCTCAGACCAAACACTCGACACTTACTAGCTGTGTGACCCTGTGCAAGTCACTTAACCCCAAGTGCCTTTAAAAAAAAAAAGAGGAAAAACAAAAAGAAAAATGTTACTAATAGATATGGCTCATGACCCTTCAATCCAATCCCCATTTCCTAATGACTTTAAAACTGGAAAGTACCTTCGGAACATATCTCATTTTGCAGATGAGAAAACTAAGGTTGAAAGCAAGCAAGCAGTTGGGCGAAAGGCACACAGATAGTGAGAAGCAAAGCTCAGATTTAAACCCAGGTCCTCTGATACATCTCAAGTCTTTCTATCTGACCCAGGTCTCCCAGACTCCTAGACCAGCCCTGTCTTCACTCCCCAGAATTCCTCACATGTACTATACAGATATACAAAGATACTAAATTATGATTCAATTCCACTTGAGGTTTTTCCCTTCATTTAAATGAATCATAGACCCACCATCATTTATCAAAACCTCTCTTTATTAACAGACAATCCTCCTTCCAAATATAATACATAAATAGATATTTGACTCCACTTCTTTTTTTTCAAATGATAAGAAACTTGAGCCTTGTGGACACTTTGCACAAACGTAAAGAAAACTGAGATGAGTGGCTGTGGCCTGTAAAGTCACTGGGGTGATATAAATATTCAAAACTATGAGAAGATTAGAACAGTAAAAATGTCATATTTAAACCACTCTGACCTTCTTAGAAGTGTTATTTAAAGATAATAGCCACGGAGTCATAGAATGTTAGCGCCAGAAAGGACCTTGGAGATCATGTAGGCCAACCTGCTCATTTTACAGGTGAGGGGGATGAGCAAAGGCCCCTGAAGGCCCAAATGTTGCATATAAATGAGCACTACCCAAATGGGGGCAGGTTAGAATCTGTCTAGTGTGTCAATGGCTTGCCAGAACCGGAGACGTCTTGGATGTTACTCTCCTTCACAGACTTTGGAGGCCTCACCTGTACCTTAGTATTTCTCCAAAACGGACTCCAACGAGCCTGTCCTTCCTATGCTAGAGGTCGGGGGAAAGGCTAACTAGCTGTTCTCAGAACTCAGAGCTGGGAAGGGGTTAGGGAGGGGACCTAGCTTTCTTTAGTGCCTCTGGCTCTGAAGTGGGGACACAGTAAGACGAGCCCAAAATCAGAGGATGTAGGTCTGAATCCTGACTCTGTCATTCATTACCTGTGTAACCCATATACGTCACTTCACTGATGTGGGACTCAGTTTCCTCGTCTGAAAAGTGAGGGGTTGGACTGGATGGCTTCCAAGCTCCTTTGGGCCCCGAAGCCATGATACTATGATCCTAAAAGTACAGGAAATGCAGAATTCATTCTAAGCTTTACTGATCTGCTTTGCTGTTCAATCATTTCAGTCATGTCTTACTCTTCGTGACCCCATTTGGGGTTTTCGTGGCAAAGATACTGGAGCGGTTTGCCATTTCCTTCTCCAACTCATTTGACAGATGAAGAAACTGAGGCAAACTGGGTTAGTGACTTGCCCGGGATCACACAGCTAGTAAGTATCTGAGGCTGAATCTGAATTCATGAACATGAGTCTTCCTAAGCCCAGGGCTCTATCCACTATGGCGCCACCTAGGGGCCCAATCTTTTTTCTTGGTGAAGGTAAAATACAGTTTCTGGACTAATCATTGGGGAGAAAGTATTTCTCCTCTCTTATGGTGTCAAACAGGCAGACTTAATTCCTGCTGCCACCCTACCCCCTGCTTATATTTAGTATGATACAGTGCAAAGGGCATAGGATTCAGAGCCAGAGGATGTGGGTTCAAATCCTGCCTCTGCCCCTTGTGGCCTATGTCATCTAGGTCAAATCATTACACCTTCTCTGGACCTCATTTTCCTCTTCTGTGAAAGGAAGGAGGTCTATCTGTCGACCTTGAAGTCTCTCCAGTTCTAAGGACACACTCTCACATTGTGCTCCTCTGAGTGTCCCATAAGTCTCAGTGCTGTTTTAAGCAATTAAAGCTTAAAATTGCACTGAGATTCAGCTCTTTTTGTCCCTCCCTCATCTCCTTTAGGGAAGAGCAATGGGGAGAGAGAGACACACATCAGACAACAGGATGCCGGCTTGTTGCTCCTATGGAGTGGCTTGAGATTTCCTGATTTGTTGTCGGACAACTTGTGGGAATCCCAATTCTTCTGTTACCTGGCTAACATGGGGCAAGCAACTTCACCTGCATCTGTAAGGGGGAGGGGGAGGCGAGAGTCTTTCCAGAGCTAAATCCCTTGGCTATAAACCTGTGATCTCATCAAATGATGGAGAAAATCTAGAATGGCAGACATCAATGTACGGGTCTTTTTTACATCTCTCTGGTGATAAGGGACAAAAGTGTTATAGGTAATTAGTGGTGAATTCTTAATGTGCTTTATTAGGATGCGTGGTCTGGGCACAGGCAGCTAGAGGATACAATGGGTAGATCATCGGACTTGGAGTCAGGAAGAACTGAGTTCAAACCTTGACTCAGACACTCACTAGCTGTGAGACCCTAGACCAGTCACTACTTCTCTCTGCCTCAGTTTCCTCATCTGTAAAATGAGTGCTAATAATAGCATCTATCTCCCAGTGATGCTGTGAGGAAGAAGTGAAATAGCACTGTGCAAAATTTAAAGCACTATAGAAATGCTAGTTATTGCTATTTGTTATTAAAATTAAATTGATTAAAATAAAAAATTATTAATAATAACCCCATTAAAATTATATAATCATTGAATAAGCTAACAGTTAACTATTAATATTAATTGATGTTAAATATGTTATTATATTGTTATTTCAGCAATGCTTCATCCGAATTTTGTATCAGTCAAGGAATTCCCACCAGAGATGCTGGAGTGGAGGACAATGAGGATAAAGGGAAGTCATTAACCAACAAAAAACAATTTGAATTCACAAAAGCCATGCCCTTTACCAGGCCTGCACCAGTATTGACAAGATTTAGGAAAGAAGTGACCAGGAGGGCCAAAAGGTATAGGCTCCAGCAGCACTAACTGGGAGTGCATCTCATCACCTTGCACAACAGTTAACCTCCACCCCACCCCCAGGGCCCTGCTCCAGATCACCAGAGACCTTACCCCCTCCCCATGTCAACTTCCAATAGCAGCTAACCTTATTGCAGCATCCTGGGGTGCATTTTCTTTTTTTCTGTAAATACATTTTTATTAACATCTTTTTTATATATAACCTACATTTCCCAATAGAATTCTTTTCTTCTCCCTTTCGCAGACAGCAAAACTAGCCAATATATTGGAAAAGCCTCATTATTTTTTATACAGCATTCCATATCTCGAATCTCCCACCTGCACAAAGAAGCAGGGGAGGTGCTGGGGTACACTTTCAATTCCAGTGGTCTTTTGGTCCAGAGGCAGCAAACACACAGCCCTTGGGCTGCATGTAACCAGCCACTGAGCAAAGCCCCAACTAGATGACCATGTAAGTCCTATTTGTTTTTAATGCACTGATATATTAATGAAAGAAGAACATATAAACCTGTGTGGCTTTCTAAGTCACTATGCAGCCCACAAGAATCCTTACATATGATTAGGGGTCCCCATTTCGGGTTGAGTTTAACACCATTGATACTGGTCAACCCATTGCTCCCAAATAATTTCCTCCACAGCATACCCAACAAGTGGGCAGCTGGCCTCTGCTTGACGATTGCCCCCAAGAGGGGATGATAACCTCCCCAAGTGGCCCATTTGACTTTTGACAGCTCTCATTGTTATCAACCCCGCTCCTATTAAGCATAAATTTGCATCATTGCAGCATCCAAAGTTAGTCAAGTGAACGTGTATTTATTAAGTGCCTACTACCTGTCAGGCACTGAGCTAACTCCTACCCTAAGGTTTGGGCTCTTGGGTAAAATTAATGTAAGTACATCTCTCCATCGTTTTCCACGAGAATGGAATGAGACACATAGTCAACCACTTTGTTAAAACCTTGGCAAACTGCACCTACATGTCTCTTTGCCAAAACAAAACTTCTCATTGCCTAATTTCATGATACTTTCTTTATTTCAGCAAAATGAACTGAGACAGATTCATTTAGTTTGGGGAATGTGTTAAATTCACATCATTCTTGAAGGGAAAATGCTCCCCAGTACTCTTCACCATTGGCAGGATTCAGACACACAAAATTTATGGTGTCGAGGCCTTCCATCTTCTAAGACCCTCCCTCTCACACTCGTCCTTGTAACTCAGAACCATGTACCAGAAAAAGGAGGTGGATGGGAGTATATAGGAACCAGTTTATGGCCCTTGACAGAGTTTTCTCTGTCCTCCCTAAACCACAGACAGCTGTTGTGTTATAATCAGACTTTATTGGCAGTAAATGAACAATTCCACTTACCATTAATTCTATTTTAATGGGCCTGATTCTATTTTGAATGGGCTAGCATTTTGTTTGACAGTGTGATGCCCATAAAGAAGAGATAGAAAATTTCAAAACTCATCACTGTTTTGTCCGAATTGAAATGCACAGTGATAAGAATGTATTAAACAAAATGAAGTCAATACCTCTTAAAAATCATGATGCCAAGTCTTGTTATTTTTTATCAAGGCAATGCCACAATTAGTGTATATAATAATGGACATTCAAGCTTAATTTGAATATTAGAGTGTGAGCTCCTTGAGGGCAGACACTGTCTTTTGCCTTAGTATTTCTTTTGTGATTAAAATGTGCTTAAGGATGTTATAATGCCTCGAATCAGAGCTGTGAACATTAATTCTCATTTATAGTGTAGAAAAGTCAGTGCCTGATAATCAACATTTTCAGGTGATATTATAATGGAGAAACCAGCCCTCATCGTAAAGCCTAGATCTAGTCCTTTAATACCCTGTATACTGAATGGCAAGATATCATTTTCAAGCATAAGGTCATCCAGAGGATGGTGACAAGGTGGTGAGGAGGACTTCATAGGATGATGCACAAGGATCAGTTGAAGGAACTAGGGATACTTAGCTTTGATAATGGAAGACTTGAGTGGGGGGAGGACAGGGATCTGACACCTGTCTTCAAGGATCTACGGCAGAGGGATCCTCCAGAGGGAAGGACAAGGAATAAGAAACAGAAGATGCAGAAAGACAGGTTTGGCACAACATAAGGAAAAACATTCAAATAATTAGAGCTATCCCAAAGCAGAATAGGTTTTCTTGGAAGACGATGGGTTCCCATTTGCTGGAGATCAAGTGGAGACTCGACATTCCTCTGTCGGGGATGTAGCAAAGACTTTTCCTGCTCAGGTATGGATGGGACTAGATAAGCTCTAAGATCACATTTAACCCCCTGCTGGACTTATCCCTCCATTAATCTACTTTCCCTCTTGTCCTTCTGTTTTCCTATTTAATGAAATATATGTCTACACCCAACTGTGTTTTGTTAGTAGAGTCATTTACACAGCAAATTAAGGTTTGGAAAGTACTTTATATGTGTTAACTCATTTGATGCTCACAACAACCTGAGGTGAGATCATTGCTATTATTATCCCCATTTTATAGATGAAGAAACTGAGACTGAGAAAGGTTAAAACCTTATGCCCTGGGGGTCACATAGCTAGTAAGTAGACAAGATTCGAACTCAAGTCTTCCTGACTCCAAGGCTCATACTCTATCCATACCGCTGGCCATCTGGTGCCTGGCACCTGTTCAGAAACCGCTCTGGGTTTTGGGGTTGGAAGGTTGGTCACCCACCTATGCTCACTCTAGCCGTAGCTGTCTACAAAATCCCATTTCCATATAACTGAATTTCTCTCTGTCTTTACATGGAAATCCCTCCAGTCATTTCACCATTTTCATCATTCTTATAAGTAGGTAGCTTTTCCAGTGCCATCTTTAGAATGAAGGAAAGAAACAAAAGAAAGTCACTTTGACATGGCATCTCAAAGCTTCCATAGCACTCTATTCAGCAACCTGAATGATGCCCAATATTTCAGGTAAGGACTTGTACAGGAGGAGGCTCATGCTTTTTTTTTTCTATTTTGTTCCTAGGTCCCTTATTCCTGATGATGCCAGGCTTTTCCTACTCCTTTTGGTCTCTGAGGCATACTAACAAGATAGGTAATTCTAGAAAGAACTAAAATCATATCTAGCTTCCTCTTCTATTTGATAATAGATCAGGGGTGGGGAACCTGTGGCCTGGAGGACACATGTTGCCTTCTAGGTCCTTGGGTGTGGCCTTTAGACTGAGTCTAAGTTTTACGGAACAAATCTTTTTATTAAGGAGATTTGTTCTGTGAAGTTTGAATTCAGTCAAAGGGCTGCACTTGAGGACTGAGAGGGCCACATGTGGCTTTGAGGCTACAGGTTCCCCACCCACATAATAGATGGTTTGGAATCTATTGTGTGATCTAATTGTAATGGAAAGCATTCAGAGCCTACCTCTGATATTGACTTCCTCTATGGCCCTTGGCACCTCAGTTCTACTCTACGCAGAGTCCTAAGATTGGGAGTGGTCAGGGCAGAAAGTTAAGGGTGCTGAAGCCGTCACTGACCCCAAGGTGTTTATTAGGCGTCTTCTTGAATTGGAGAGTTGGAGCTAGAAGGAATCTCACAGGCAATCTTATCTGTCCCATCCCCTCATTTAACAGATGAGGAAACTGAGGTGCTATGAGATTAGATGTCTTACCCAAGGTCACAAAGACAGTAAAGCATCACAGGTGGGATTTGAACTTTAGGCTTCGTTTCTCTCATCTGTAGAACAAGGTACCAAGGCTCAGTGAGACTAGATGACATGCCCAGGGCCACGTAGGTAGTAAGCATCAGAGGCAGGATTTCCACTTCTCTTGGTCTCATTTCCCTCTGATAATAACTGGTATTTATATAGCTCCTTTAGCTTTGCTAAGCTCTTTACATAAGTTAACTCATTCAATTCTCACACCCCTGTAGTAATTATCCCCATTTTTATTATAATTATTATTATAATTATTATTATTATTGTGCCCATTTTACATATGAGGAAACTGAGGCACAAGATTAAGTGACTTGCCCAGGGTAATACAGTTATATGTGTTTGAGCCAGGATTTAAAATTCAAGTCCTCAGGACTTCAAACCCCATGCTGCACCCACTGTCCCACTTAGCTGTCATCATCTGTAGAATGAGGCTGATGACAATTTTGCTAACAAGCTGAAGCAAAGCTTGTTCGGAGTAAAACATCCTATCAAACTTAAGTCAGTTCATAAATGGGGTCTGTTGTTCTGATCAACTATGACTTCTAATTTCCACACTTACAAGAGCTGTGATTGAAACAGCGTGGCTGTCATTACTGACACAAACCCTCAACCACTTAGACCACCTTCAACAGTTACTGTAAGCAAAATGGATCCCCCTGCAGTCAACCTGAGGACAAGCCCCTCTGAACTTAGTGAGGCTAGTACTCATAACAGGCACACAAGCCATGACTGTATGACAGAGGAAAGGAGTGATTGCAGAGGTAGCAGGCCCTTCCTCACGCCTCTAGTTTCCAGTATTAAAGAAAGCACATTGTGAGAGTGAGAGAATGAGGGAGGGAGGGGGAGAGAGAGAGAGAGAGAGAGAGAGAGAGAGAGAGAGAGAGAGAGAGAGAGAGAGATAGCACAAGAGAGAAAGAGAGGGGGAGAGAAAGAACACAAGAGAGGCAGAGATAAAGAGAGAAGGAGGGAGGGGGAAAGAGAGATAAAGACAGTATGAGAGAGAAAACAGTAACAAGGAGAGAGCAAAAGAGAGGAAGAAGGGAAAAGAGAGATGGAGGGAGGGAGAGGAAAGGAGGGAGGGAAGGAAGGAGGGAGGGAGAGAGCATAAAAGAGAAAGAGGGGAAGAGAAAGAGAACAAGAGAGAGAGAGGGACTGAGAGAGAGAGAAGGGAGAGGGAAAGAGAGATAGAGACAGAGAACAAGAGAGAGAACGAACAAGAGGAGAGAGAGAGAGAGAGAGAGAGAGAGAGAGAGAGAGAGAGAGAGAAGGGGGAGGGAGAGGAGAGAGAGGGAGGGAGGGAAGAGAGAGAAAGAAGAAAGAAAGAGAGGGGGAGAGAGAGAGAGAAAGAAAGAGGGAGCAAGAGAGAGAGATGGGGGAGGGGAAAAGAGAACAAGAGAGAGAGTGAGAACAACAGAGGGAAAAAGAGCAAGTGAGACGGGGAGGGAGGAGAGGGAGACGGGGAGGGAGCTCGTTTGAGGTTACACCTACATGACAGGAAACAAATATTCTCCTTGTCTATCTTTATCCCATTTTTGCAGAGTGCAATAAGTATTTCATTGGATTCCCCACCAGCTGCCATCAACTACAACTGAAAACACATTCTAATGTGCCAGTACCTCCTCAAGCCTGCTTGCTCTAATGCATACGGAAATCCGCTTGAAGGATAGGTCGTTTCTGAGGCCCATCCAGAAGCTTAGTGCATGAAAGGAATCAATGATGGGGAGCAGCTCTGGGTGGTCGGGGCTCCCTACCACATGTTCAGGGACAGCACGGCTTTTGGCTGGGGAACCTACGAAGGCCATATGTTCCTCTTCTATGGCTCTGGACCTTGGCTGCTCAGATTTGACTCACGTTAGAGCCGTGGCACAAACTGGTCCAGCCAAGACCTGCCATCACATATGGCTTTCAGTTCCAATATGGCTCTGATCAAAGGCAAAAGCCCTGCCACTGAATCCTGCTGGGTGGGGTGGGGGGGGCGGGGAGGGGGAGGGATGCAGATGACCAAAACTATTGCACCAACAAACCTTCAGGAGACATCTAGATTCAGAAAATGTCAATCAGGTGATTCTAGAAAGTGCTTAGATAAAAAGCAAGCTCTTTGGGAGAAGGACTCAGGTTTAACCTCGATGATAATAACAACTCAAGCTGCCAGAGGTTGTAACAATGCACTTTCTAGCAT